AATAAAATTAACCATATTAATAATAATAATAATAATAATAATAATTATAATAAGGCCTTTTTTTTAGTGACAAATTCTCTTTTGCATTTATTTCAATTGTTGTTCAAGATCTGTCTTTGAGTATAGAAAGCCATATTAACACGGCATTCAAGGCCTTTATTAGAGATGTCCCTTTTATCGCTTTGTATAACCTTTGCCCCTTTTCCCCATTCAAATCTGTGATATATTCAGCGCATTGCCCATCAAAGTCTCCAGAGAGATCGCAACCATAGAAACAATTCCATCAAAGACCCGTCAGTTTATGAATTACCCAACAGATGTCTCATTTAACACCATAATAACCCTTGAAATCAATTTGCCTCACACCTTTTGCCGACCGTTCAGCCCACCACTTTAGCCCACCCTTTCGATGCGCTTCTTTTGCCAACAATTTTAGTTGAAACCCTTTGGGAATTTCGCCAACAGTTTTGTTAATTTTTATCTATAATTATTTCACGCGTTTTTAGCAACGCTTCACGCCCTCTGCAAAAAAAAAGTGAGAGGACACAGAAGACACAAGAGAGCACAGCCCATGGAATGGCAGAGAGTAAGAGGCACATCCCATAGATGGATGACAGCCAAAAGGTTCCATTAACTGTCCAAAATACACACACACACACAGACTCACACACTTTCACGCCCAAAGGGTAAAGGGGCAGCGGCGGGTCAAACCCTTTTTTGGCAAATGTTTTTTTTTTGTCAAATAATGCGATAAATAAAGTCATTCAGTGGGACACAGTGGGACGACAAGCGACAAGCGACAAACGACGAAGAGTGTTACAAATTGAAAGCCGAAAGCCTGCAAAGTGAACAGCAAACGGCGAGGGCAGGAGGGAGCTAGCACGGGAGACAGCCATGAAAAGTGCAATGAAAAAGTAAATAAGTGTGGGCGAAATAAAATCAAATAAAATCGCTTAACACACGGCTTTTTGGTTTGGAGCGGGGGGGTTGGGGATACCCCGAAAAAATGACAGAGTTGACAGACAATGCGACAGACAAATTGGGACGAACTTTTCACGCATTTTCCCCAGCGTCAGAGCATGCCATCCGCTCCCCTTTGGCTTTCAACTAATTTTCAGAGCGATATGTTTGACAGGCGATGGGATGGGAAGGGAAGGGAAGGCATGCGGCTGTCAGTCAGTGCGTCAGGCATTTATCCATTCATTCCATTGAGTCATTCATTGATTTGAAGCAGCGCCAACGAATGGGGCTGCCAAACAATCGAAAGTGTCAATTAAAAGACTGGCAAAGTATTTGCGCTGTTTCCCCCGTCGGGATTGAAAATGTTTTATTATTTTATTTTATTATATTATATTATTTGATTTAAATGTTAACCCAAAAAGCACTGCCACCGCCACGACAGGCGCTCTCTCCATCGATTTGCGGTGTGGAATGTAATCATGTTATTCGTCGATTTTTGCTTTCAATTGGGGTATAATCGAAAATGGAAATTGGCATGGAATTAAAGCAGATGTCAGATGGAACGGTCATTGATCCATTGAATGCAGCAGCAGCGACTGGTGGGGGGGGGGAGGCACGTCGCAAGTGCTCTGATTAATGCCCCACGGGAACGACCTCATGGCCTCAGGCTGACTATATAAACAGGAACTTATGTTTAACTTCCTGGACCAAGCCAGGTCCCAAAGGACGGTGCATTTCGATCTGGTACCCCCGTACGCCCCGCCCTTTCGGATAATGTGTACCCCAGCGGCAGTGGCTTGTTTACTTAGAGGTAGTCTTTGTTTATCTTTGGGCAAGTATTTCTGTTTATTCAGTGGCTTAAAAATATCCACAGCCTTGACAATGTATTGTATCTTCGATTGCTTTGAAGTATTGAGAGTTCCAGTCCCAGGCCCAGTCCCAGTCCCAGGCGATGAAAACCCCATTGACATCGAGCACTCCTCAGGCAAAAGAAAATACACAAAAGACATGTCTTGGGAAATGTCAGTAGTACTCGTAGTAGTTCCCCTGCTGCCAGTGCCAGGCTGTAAACAAATTTCAAGATGAGCTGCAGAAATGATGGTGCTGTAGAGATCCTGAGATGTGGCGGATTGCTCTTTCACAATGGCAATCTATGGAAGATCTATCAAAGGCTCGAAAGGTCTCGAAAATATCTTCTCTATTTAATTTTGTTGTATGAATCATTTAGATGGAATACTTTCCTCGAGGTATCGTAAATATCGGAATTCTAGGCACCTTCATATCTCGCTTTCATAGCCCGAAATATCTGCAAACCATTTTTTTATTCCAAGAAAAATCCAATTTTTCATTTCTAAAATTTTAGTTTATTCTTTTTTTATTGTTTTCTCTTTTAATGTGTGTTTGTCAAGAATTATAACTCGTTTTCCAATTAGTTTAACTGCTTTTTTGTTCTATTTCGCTTAATTATTTTTAGATATTTCAATTTATATTTATTGTTAATTCATTTAGCATTTATTTATAGTGTTAAGCATTTTGTTTTATATAAATTATAACTACATTTTAACCACGCCATGCCATCCAACCCTTTTGGGGGGAATCCTGCCACCCTGCTGGAATATCTCTGCAAAACAATTGCAAAATATTTACCCCGTTTGCTGTTCCATAATTAATGTGTAAGAAAAATACAAAACAAATGCGTGCTGCTGTTGTTGCTGTTTAAATAATTGAATACTATATATTTGCCTTCGAAAAATGTACACATAATAAATGCATTTAAATGTAAATTAATTTAAAAATTAAACTAGAAATCTGGAAATCAGGGGACAAGCTCTCATGCGCACCGCAAAAGAACGAACAATATTCCTGTGTATGGGATTACTAGTACGATATAACTTTTTTTTTGCCATAATTCCCAAACCAAAATTAAAGGATAACACCACTCATTACATTAGTATCTTTTTTTTTTTTACAGTGTACTCTTATTAATTTTTACAAAATGTAATTTTAACTTAATCTCTAAATCGTTTAATTTAGCTTTTTACGTTTTTTATTATTTATATATCCATAATTTATACAAGTCTTGTAGGTAGGTTTCGTGATTTGTTTTTTGCATGAGAGTGTGTGTCTGTAGTACGTTGGTTGGGGGGGGGGTCGTGTTGCTGCAGTGTTACACAGTGCCTAACAGTGTGTGTGTGTGTTGTTTGTGTGTTTGGGGGTTTGAGTGTGCAAATGGAAATTCGTTTGGAAAGTCAAAGAAGTTGTGCAGAAAGTCATTTGAGGAATAGACAATTATTTTTCAGAGCCTAATATTATTTTTTAAATATCTTTAAATATTGTTGTTTTGCTTAACTTTTAGCTTGGGTAATGTATTTTTTTGTTTGTTGTTTACTTTTAAAAACTCTTTCTCGAAAAATGTTGCACAAACATTTTGAATATTTTGTTTTTGCTGTTGCTGTTGCTGCTGCTGCTGCTGCTGCTGCTGTGTGGAGTGTCGTTCGTTATCTTTGAGTGTTTTGTGTTTGTTTTTTTTTTTTACTATTTTTCTACTACTCTTTTTGTTGTGGTTGTTTGTTGCAGTGTGATGTAATGTTGCCTGTGTGCCTGTGTTTTTTGTGTGTGTGTTTTCTTTTAAATACTATTTTCCAACACTTTCTATGTAATGTTGCCTGTAATTTTTTTTGTTACTGCTGCTGCTGCTGCTACTACGAAGCTACTATTCTTATTAACTCTTAGTACGTTTGTTTTCCTTGGTGAATACTTATACGAGTATGCGCATTAAACTAAAAAGGAACATATACATGATTATTCATTAATATTTAATTATAATATATACGATTTGTGTGTGTGTATGTGTGTCTGTGTGTTTGAGTGTGTTTTCGTTTTTGTTTTGTTTTGTTTTAAATATTTAAATAGTGCTTTCGTTTTTGTTTTGTTTTTATAGTCAGAGTCATTTGTTGTTTGGTTTTTTTTTTTTTTGCGGGTTAGAATAAATTAAATGTTAGCATTTAGAACTGAATCTTCCATCGTTTCAATCGCATCTCAATCGTTTCTATAAGTAGCTTGAATATATATTCTTCTTGAATCACAAATCATTGATGAAAACTTCATTTTACTTGGGTTTTTGGGCAACGTCGCTCTGCACACGCTCTGCTCTCTTGGTCCGTTAAATTCCGTTACAATTTTTTTTTTATCATCATACATACATCATACATCATCCTATCATCATCGTACATCATACATACATATATCCCATCTGTATCTCTTGACCTCTTTTCTCACTACATAATTTTGTTTCGACGACATCTCTCTCGCTCTCTCTCTATAAGTTTTATACACAGAAATTTACAGTGGGTGTTTGAGTGGGGCGGGGCTGAAGGGGCATACATATATATAGATAGTTACAGTCAGAGGGTTAAGGTTTACAGGTTTGACAGTTGTTCTTGTGGTATTTTTTTGCAGTGTTTTCTTTCAGTGTTGTGTGTGTGTTTTTCCTTTTTTTGTTTTTGTTTTGGTTGCTTTCGAAAAGGTACTAAAAATCAGTTGAACTTTTTTATTTTTTTATACGCTAGTTTATTTTTTTTTTTTGAGTCATTTTTTTTAATCATTTTTAATCCATTACAATAAAATATTTTCTTTCTGCTGCTTTTCGTTTTATAAACAAATTAATGAATGTCGCTAAATGCTAGACCTTAAATTCGTTTTTATATATTCATTATTCATTTATATTTCATTTATCATTCGAGTGATTTTTTTCTTCTTGATTTTTATTTTTCTTTTTTCTTTTTGTCCTACGATGCGCATTTTGTTGTTTTAAAATTCAGCTCTATGCAATGTGTGGGGGGGTTTGTTGCTCACTACCGTTTCCTATTTATATTTACAGGGTATTTTTATTTTACCATACCATTCCTTTACCTATTTCGTTGGCATTGCTCCTCGACATCGACATCGACATTAACACTACACTTATGATTTTTGTAGGTAGGTCTTGATGATTAACGTATTCATTTCGTTTCGTTTCTTTACGTTTCTTTACGTTTCTGTTTTTCGTTTCTGTTTAGCTCAGTGGGTTTAATTGTTTTCGACGCTTTGTGCTGGCTGTCTGCTGCATCAGCCTTTGACCCCTGTATGTGGGATGCACGCTCCATTTTTCTGTACTTGACTTTGTAACGTTTACTTGCTGGTTTGTTGGATTTTCGTGTAGAGTTTCAGCGCTGTAAATTGAAAGAGCAGAACGTAAGGGCTGGAGGTTAGTCTTGAGAATGCCAAAAAGAGTATTATATATTCGTATATTAAAATGAAACTCTGCAGAAAAATAACTCTGAGTTGCATTAGTTATTTATCTACCAAGAATCAACAAGATCAGACAATTATTTCAAACAGAAAAATCAAAAAATAAAGATAGGAAAATATAAAAATTAATCTAATATTCCAAATGATATTTTATAATTTTTTCTTTAATTTTTAGAGTACAGTACTTTTTGCAAAAGATTTAATTTATTTTGTTAGCCAACTATAATATTTGATTTATTTATTAGTTTTTTACTCACCTCAAATCCATTTAATAATGGGGTTTTCATCAATGATACCACAGCCTGTTGTTTTGTGTTCTCATAACACCGTTCGCCATTCCATTTCCATTTCCATTTCCTATTCCATTCCCCATCCCTATACCCATTCCCAGTCCCATCGATTTTGTTAGATTAGTTGAAGCTTCTCCATTGACAGCCGCCAAAGCCAAGGGCTTCATGGCAGCCAGCGTCCTGTTCTGATGGACACCCACCAGATCCTCGCCGGGCGACAGGCCCGTCAGCCCCGTCATGGTGGGTCGCTTGTAGTCCGCATCCCCGCCGGGTGCTGCATCCCGTGTCAGCCGCAATGCCTTGAGGTGCTGCCTCTGATGATGATTGTCGCGCAGTGTTGTTGTTCCTGTTGTTGCTGTTGTTGTTGCCTGTGGGTTATTCTTGTTGCATGTGGCATACTTGCTATTGCTGCTATTGTGCAGGGTCAGACTGTACTTGGGCTTGCTGTTGTTGCTGCTGTTGGCCGTGCTGCTGGCCAGGCTCAAATGTTGCGGCTTCTTCGGCATGGTGCTGGTGCTGGCGACGGGAGCGGCGGCGGTGGCGGCGGCTGGTGCCACATTCGAGCGAGCTGCCAACTTCAAGGAGGCTTCGAACTAGAGATTATCGGGATAGCTGCGGAAATTGTAGGTTCTGGCACGCTGAAACTCCGCAGCAGCGGCGGCTGCAGCGGCCGCCGAACTCTGTCCACTGCTGTACGGATTGATCATCGGTGCCGTCGACTGGGAGTTCATGGTGCCCATGCCATCGTCGTAGATGCCATTGTTATGCTCCTGCTGCTGCTGCTGCTGCTGCTGGTTGGCGCTGCTGCTGCTGTGGCTGTGGCTGCTCTTGCCACCGCCGCTGCTCACAGTGTTTGTGTTGCTGGTGTTGCCACCGCTGCTCAGGCCAGAGCCAGCGCCCTTGATGGGCTTAAAAATGGCCGTGGTGGCATAATACTTCTCCATGGGCGGCGGCGGCACAGTTGGCGGCCTGGGGAATATGCTGCTCAGCGGTGGTGGCGGTGTTCTCCTCACATTCACATAGCCACCGCCCATGCCCACGCCCACACCGACGCCGGAGTTGGCCATTTTTGTCGAGGGCATATAGTCCTGCATGTGGGGCACCGCGTAGCCACCTTCCGGTACATCTGTGTGAGGGAGAGAGACATGAAAAAAAAAAAGAAGTTGCCTTTAGTCGTTGGGGAAATTGTCACACAAAAATTTATTTGCATTAGTTCCGGGCACGGAACGGAAATGTGGGACGCGAGCGAGGATTTAGCGCGGTTTTTGGCTGTCTGAGGTCTGAGGGTTCACTGTGGCGGTACACACCTGTATAGTCTGGCGTCATGTTGCATTGTAAATCATTAACCGCTGCGTAGCCATTCACACCGCTCGTGTACATGTTGACATTGAAGGGCTCGTGGTAGAGGCTGTTCTTGCCAATGGAATCACTGTCATCGACACTGGCCTGCAATGGAAGAAAGAATAATAAAGGTTTAGTTGTTAAGGAAAGAGCAAGCCTGCCAGCACTTAATTTCTAGATATAATTTAACCCCAAAAAAACGCGAAAACAATCGATATGCCAGTAAAGTGTTCGATTAATTGGTAGATTTACACCAAAACAAATCCTCCTTTAGCCTGTTGCCTTGCAAATCTTTCTACTTGAATAGTTCTTTCGTTTCGTGTTACAAGTTTCAAGTTTTTCCACACACTGCCCTCCACTTGAGGCGGAAAACTTCTTTAATCCAATTTTCTTGCCACCTTCTGTTTTGTACGAAACTTTAAAGTATTTTTTTTTTTTCTGCGCTGACCCCCACAAATCAACAGCAGAAGCCCAGAGTCCACTGCTGCCTGCCTGCCTGCCTGCCAGCCTGCCAGCCCATTGAAAAGTTCTATTAAATAAATGCCGGAAGCAGCAGGGGCAGGGGCAGCAGCAGACTCGCACGTAGAAACGTAAGCAATGTGGAAACTCCACGCTACATTGAACAATTATGTGGAATTTTCGATGCAAGGCAAGGAATTTGCCAATGATCCATACAGTACGACCCACACCCGGACTCTCCCACTATTTGATGCTGCTGCTGCTGCTGCTCTCGCTCACCTTAATGCTATTGCCATTGGGTCGATGCTTATCCACATTGCCGCCGAGGGTGTTCGGATTGAAGCTGTATTGGAATGCATCGAGTACGTTGCTGCCGCGGGCGCGTTTGGTGCGCGATACGATGAACAGGATGATGGCCACCAAAAGGATAATTATCGTTGTTAGGACAACAATGACAACGCCAATGAAATTCGCATCGTTCGGCTCCTGATCAATGGGCCGTGGTGCAATTACTAAAGAGAGACAAAGAGAGAGAGAGAAAGAGAAAATTGAAATTTTAAATGAACAAAGTGCGCGACACGAAATGAAATTAAATGTAAATATTGTTCAACTAAATAATTAGCAAAAAGGCTTTTTCTTTTGCCTTTTTTTTTGTGTTTAAATTGAATTTAATGCTGGCCAATGCTGGCACACACACACACACACTTACATTGCGGTCCATTGCTGTACTTGGAGTCGGATGTGGATATGCCACCAGCGTTGCCAGTGTTGCCGCCTCCTGTGCCAGCACCAGTGGCGCCGACATTCATTTTATTTGTGCCATGATTGTGCTGATAGTCGTTGCTCTGCAATGGATATTCGCGTGTATCCTGCGCCTGGCTGGGCGAATTACTGTTGCGCTGCTCCTGTTCGTCTGTGAAATTTCCCATGGCGGGCACTGCAAAAAAATACAGAGGGGAAATGGAAAAGCAAAATGAGACACAGAACGAGTTACGAGTAGATTGGGTTGGGTTGGAAGTTCATTTCATTTCCATCTTTAGAAGTTTTGCCGCCACCACCGACCACGACGCTGCCGCGCACAGCTGCGCTTCAATGATTAGTTTTTCTTCGCTCTCTGTCTCTGTCTCTTTCCCTTCGCCTTTCTTTGCTGGCAGAGTCCCTTTCTTTACACCTTTCGTTCTGCTTTAAATTGTTTCGCCTTCGACACGCTTTTCTTTTCGTTTTCGTACAATATATATGACCTCTAACGTGTTCATTTCCTGTCAACTTTTGGGTCGCTGGAAAAAAAAGGTCTTGTGTGCAGATGTTTGATTTGATTTGTTTTTTTTTTTTAAGGGGCGTCACTCGCTCTTCCTTACTCTCTCTCTCCCTCGTGTCTTATGAATATTTATTTTGGGTTTTGTTTTTTCCTAATGATTTTGAAATGGTTTAATATATGCGTGAGGAAACCCTACATATATCTTGTTGTTTCATTATGAATGTTATGCTTGGAGTGCGTTTTGATTGGCGTAACTCTGGGCTGGCACCTAAACATATATCATATGATATCTTGAGTTTAATTAACTTTTGCTTATGCCTCACTTTAGTTAACAGTTGGGCAATCTATGAGCTTTATAATAGTAGAAAAGTGGTACGTATAGCACCACTATATCATGAGTTACTATGGGCTATAATAGCTTAGAGTAATCTTGGAATATCTTGCAGCATATATTTCTGCTTACTTTTTTTCCAACTTGCTTGCCACAAGAAAACCAAAGTCGTAGCTGCCATATATCATGAGTTATCATGGGTTATAATAGCTTAGAGAACTCCTAGCTCATCTCTCATTTTAAAATTCTGCATATATTCCTCTAACTTTTCTGCCACATAAACAGCAAAGTCGTATGTGCCATATATCATGAGTTACCATGGGTTATAATGGACTAGAGCACCCGTAGAACACTCTCCCACTGAATATTTCTGCTTAAGTTTCTTCTACTTTCTTCACCCATAAACATCAAAGTTGTATCTCTTTTATATCTCGAGTTCTTTGGGTCCACCATCCTTCTAATTGCCCGCACACCATACTTCCGTTTCTTAATTATTTCTAATCCATCATATCTATCCATTCCATCAATTTTCATTGCTCCATCAACCCCCGAGGCTCAGTTATCTTAGCGTTGGTTAATAACTCCCGGCGTTCCATAATTCCTAAGGCTTAGGCCTGATTATTAGCTTAGACCCTGCGCGGACGTGGCACCTGTTCAGGAGTTTCCTTTGATCTCTAAATAATACCATGGCCCAGGCTTATGTTTTACGCTCTGGAATCGCTCCACCCAACTACCAACAGAATACAGCATATGGCAATGATGATGATGGTGATGGTAATGCTGCTGCTGTGGCCCCAGAAGTGTTGTCATTTATCTCGCCAACATCTTGAGGGCATAACAAAGCAGAAATGTTTCATCCTCTCGCTCTCGCTCTCTTCGAAGAATGTGAGGGCGAGAGGTTTGTTTTTTTGTACGCCCCCAGGGCTGCGCTACGCTGGGCTTGGCTGCTGTTGCTGCCCAAAAAAAGCGTTTCCTTGAGTGGGTGACCCCGTTTTCTACAGGACAGTAAATGGCGTAATTACTGTGTGAAGTTCTCGTCCTCGTCCCATGGCTGACTGAGTGGAAAAGTACAGCGGAGGAGTACAGGAGGAGGAATACAGAAGCAGTACAGAAGCAGCACAGGAGCAGTCCACGGAGGAGTAGTAAGGGCTCTGGCTGCTGTTTTGAGTTATGTCGCTTGGGCTCCTTAGACGGGGCAGTCTACTCTCAAGGCATGCCATACCATACCATGCCATGCCACCCCCCCCCCCATCCTCATGCCCATCCCCTGTGTGAAGTTTCGCTGTGTGGTTCCTGCTGGGCTTTTGTTTCGACATTGCCATTGTCCTGCTTGTCGCTTGTGTTTTTTCCTGTGCGCTTCCCTACTTGTGCCATAAAAGGGGGAAATATCTCTAGCATCTCCTTGCCACGCTCTCCCTCTCCCCCTCTAACCTCTCTGTGGTCGTCATAAAACGTTTAAAATAATTAAAATATTTCGTGCCACATTTATCACACACACAGACACAGAGGGAGGCAGGCAGGACCAAGAAATAATGGCAAATATGCCGCATATCCCTTTCTGTTATTTGTTCCCTCTCATCGCATGCCTGCTCTTTCTTTTATAACTAATTCTCTTTGTGTGTCCCCAGGGTCTCTCTCTCTCCCTCCCTCTCCCTCTCTCGCTCGTTCTCTGGCTCTTTGTTTTCATGGTTTTCTTTTGTATTTTTAGAGCCAAAAACCTTTAAATATACTAACTCCAGCGACAGCAAATCACCGCAAGCAAAATCTTCACAAATTGGGGTTAAATCTCTCGGCTGTATACAGTGCCTGATAAAAATATATACGCATTCGTATGAAACACTCGAAAGATACGTGCGTTTCGCTCTTTTGTTTACACCCTATCCTACCCCCCCCACCCCACCCTACCACACCCCCTTACGCTAGTTCTTTGAGGCCTTTGCTTGAGTGGCATGTTAAAAAAAAACAGCTGGCTGCCACTGGGAGGTAACGTACTGCCTGCAACCTATAAAGATCATCCCATACCATCTCTGGCGTCTCTCTCTCTCTCGTTGCTGTCGCTTTTTTGTGTGCGTGACAAATGCTGTTTCTGGTGCATCATGTAATTGCTGCCCCTGCCCCACAGAACGCGCAGCATGAAACTTTTTTCTTTATTTTTTTCCGTTTTGGTATTGTGGTTTTTGCTTTTATTTTTTTTTTTTTTGGCTATCCTTGGGTTAGTATTGTGCTGCGTAATGCCTGGCAGGATTACGGATCTTCAAGTGATTGTTTCTCAGTAAATTTTTGGCTCAAGGGGATCGTCAGTTTTTGCTTGTGGGATAAAAGGATGATTGTGTTGGAATGATCTTTCAATTTCTGAATTAAGTTTGCTGCCCCTCAGTAAATCCTTCGGGGCATATCCCACTCAATATAAAACCCATGCATCATGCCAGCTCTGTTCTCTGTTCTCCGTTCCTTTATTTACTTTCAAAAGATCCTCTTATGGGATTTTTTAGTTTCAAAAGATCTGCTTCCAGATCACTTCCCTCTTCCCCTTCATAAATTGGTTTCCTTATGAAGCTCCTCAGGTATGACATGGCATGGCTTTCTTTTCCGTTTCTGTTCGCGTTTTCAATCTGTTTCTCTCTCTCTCTCTCTGCTTATTCCTAATTGAACTATAAAAATCTCACTAGCATTCGATTTATGGGTCAACTTCCTTTAGGCATTTAAAACTATTAGAAAATGCCACCCCTCTCTGGCAAGCGGCGTCGCAGGGCCCTAAATCCCCTAAAACCATCTGGCCGGAAAAAAAAAATAGTAATATGCCGGAAAGGAAATCCCCATTCATGCGGCACGCTCTATTTGACTCATCAATCAAACTCCCATGGATGGACGAACTATCCATGGAAATCTATACCCTAGTCGGATTTTCACACCTACTGCCGCTGCACATGGGTGTTGGGATTTCCCTAGATTTACGCTTCGATTTGGCTGCGTTTTTGGGGGTGGGTAAAAACCCCGAAAAACTCTGGAATGAATATAAATGATCACTGGACTGGCAGTTCAGTGACCGCTGCCAAAACCCGAGGATCTATAGCCGGATCGCCCGCTTTAGAGCAATTTGTGCTTCGGGGGGTTGCACTCTGCCGTACCGATGGCAAATGTGCCATGAAAATATTGTCTAAACATGTTGCCTGGGATTGAGCCTTGCACTTGGTACAATTTAATCAGGACATGCCAGGAAAAATGCCAGGCATTGCACTGGCATTGCACCCTCCCAGAGGCTGATGCTGTGGGCTGGGGGGGGTGTATGCTACCCCTAAGCCAGCAGCCAGCAAAAGGAGGGACAGACACTCTCCATTGAGAGGGATTTTCTTTTCTCTGCTTCACTTATCTCTCGACTGTTTTTCTCCCCCCCTTCTGCCTGCCTGCTGCTGTCTACCCCTCCAGTCAGTCAGCCTGCTGCTGTCTCCCCCTGCCAGCCTGCTGCTGTCTCCCCCTGCCAGCCTGCTGCCCATTGTTGTTAGCCAAAATGTTGGAAAAATGTTTTATCCCCCGTCTGTTAAGTGTAATGCATTGCATTTTCCTCCACTCGAAAGTGAAATGAAGCTGAAAAATGCATTCAGATTCAGGTCCCTCTGCCTGTCCCTGTCCCTGTCCCTTCTCCTGCTCCAGCTCCAGCTCCCTGGCAATTTTCTGGCAATTTTTATTCATTTTCATTCGAGTACATCACGTACGGAGTGTACGAATACAAGTGTGTGTGGAGTGTACTTACCGGATATAAAACTGATCTCCGATAGCATTATCCATTTGACGGCAAAATACAAATTGATTTTCAAATATTTGCCCACACGATGATGCAGCTTAATGGTCACATCTCTGGCATGATCCATAATGGTATCGGGCATATACGAGAACTGAACGGGCTCGCCAGAGAAGTAACGTCCACCGATGCTAAAGAAGACTTTGGCATGAACAAAGACCTAAAGACAGAGAGAGAGAGAGAGAGAAAAAGGGTTAAAGAAATGAAATAAATAAAGGCGCTAAAGAATCAATAATTTCAGGCGCAGATATGTCAAGGAAAAGGATTTCTCTGGGTTCAATATGCGCAGTAAATCGATGAATTTTCAAGCATAATATATAGACGCTTCTTGCGCTTACTGAACCGTGCCACAAAATCGCTTAAATCACTTAAAAATCCCCCAACCTTAATGCGCCACTTGCACACCCCTTTTTTGGGCGCTGTTTTGGGGTTATGGGACACTCACCTGAACATCCTTGGCGAACATATTGTTTGTGTGCAGGACGATGGCACTGAAATTGCGTACCGTATCGAATTCAAAGACAATTTCAACCGGTTTGCCCATCAGACCGGGCGTATCATTCCGCCAGCCAATCCATTCATAACCTGCAAGAAGACGAAACAAATAAAAAACCATCAGAAATGTAGGCAGAGCGGCAAATGCGGGGGGCGGTAGCTGAAAATCAATAGACCAAACCCCAAAAAAAAGGACTGACATGTAAAGCTATTTAAGCTTTTTGCTGTGGCTCTCGGTTTGTAGGGGGTGAAGTTTTCTGGGCTCCCCCCCACACACAAAAAGCAAATAAATGCTCACGAAGGTCTAGCAGGGGGTGGGGGGTTGGGAGTTGGGGGTGGGGAGTTAGGGTCTCACCCCCCCACATAACTAGAAATTATGGCCAATGCGACATTTAAGCCATTTTTTTCCCCTGTGTGTGTGTGCTGGGCTGCTGTTGCCTTTGTTTGCATGGCCCTAATTTCAGCTGGAGACCTACGTGGGGGGCTTAGAGAGAGAGAGAGAGAGAGAGGGGGTCTCCGCTATGCATAAGTCATGCAATATTAACTGCTGCCAGTGCCACTACGAATGGTTATATGGCTATAAGGTCCACCCAGCAAACAAGCTGTAACCAGAAATTATACGACAAGCAGCAGCAGCAGCAGCAGGAGGGCAGGAGAAGAAAGAGGTTTGTGTGTGATGGTCTTAGGGGGGGGCAATCAATAGATGGGAGGGAAGGGAAAGAGGAAACCCACCATTCAAATTCTCGTATTGATTTCCACTTACAATGCAAATAAGCAAGCAAACAAAAAACAAAAAAAAAAACAACAAATAAAACGAGCAAATAATTCCCGAAAAATAAAGGGAAAACTTTTGTCATGATGCAATGCGAACTCTCATTTTATGGGGGCTACTGTCTCGACGATGTCTCGAATGCCAGCGATGGGCGGGGGGAACAGCAACTATCAGGGGGAGACTTCTGGGTACAGCAACTACCCACCCAAGGGAAGGCTTCGTGGAGATACGGGGCACAGCGACTGCATGTCTAATTGTCTGACCGAAACTTTACTCCTGCGTAAAGTTTTCAATAATTTTCGATTATTGGCCATTTGCCAAAACTATGGCAAACAGGGGAGGATCAGAGGAGGTGCCACCAGCGACGACAGTGCCCCCGGTCGCCGGTCGCCCGACGGGGCCAGTGAAAATGTGCGAAATGGCAAAAAATAAACTTGCGGAGCATTGCGAAAATTCCTCGGCAACTTTTTTGCAGGCGGCGGCAGTGCAGCCGCTGGGGCGGAAATGAATGCCAGTGTTGCCATAAATTATCAAATATGCATAATGTTTACATTTTTACAGGCAGGAAAATGCCAGCAGAGCGGGCAGCACGAGGGGAATATCCACAGAGAGAGAGAGAGAGCAGACTGTGGAGCAGTGCTCACTCTCTCTCTCATTCGGGGTGGCATATCCGTGCAAGTTTTTGCTGCCATAGCCCCAGCCAAATAGTCGTAGTTCTAGTCCGAAAAACTTACGGCTCCCAGAGTATTATTTATTCCTCGTTTATTGTGTGTTTGTGTGTGTGTGTGGCAGGCAAATTATTTGCGAAAAGCCAAAAAGTTTTCCAGGAATCTCTTGCCCCCTCCCGCCACCACCACTGCCACCCGCTGTTCAATGAAGTGAGCTTTCAGTATGGGTGCAGGCGGGCGGGGAGAATGGGGCGTAGGTCAGACTTTGCCTTATGCTTTTTCTGTCGGTGCAACTTTTGTAATTATTTGATGTTAATCAGTTTTTTCTATTGCCATAAATCTTTGTGTGTTGGTGCACGGAGGGGGGGTTGGCTTTACCATGAGTTAGGAGCTGTGGACTTGGTATATGGCGAAAGTTATTGCCTTTTAGGGGCTGGCAGAGGGAAGCCATTTAGGCGCCAAAAAGTTTCGTTTCAATGCAGGAAGCTGCAGGATGCAGAGGAAAATCTAGCGGAAATCTACTGAGCGGATTACTAGAAAGCTAAAGGCGGGAAAACTATTTATGAGAATTAGAACTAGAAAGTGTTTTGGGAAATTAAAAATATAAAACAATAATGAATAGGATTTAATGTATTTTATGCATAAAAATATCGCTCAAGGGCCGATCTGCGATTGTAAAAGCGATTTAAGAATTAAAAAGCATAACTGAATAATGTTGATAATATTCTTAAAATGCAGAAAGGATTTATTTGTAGGGATTTACGCGATTAAAAGGTATGTCTAAGGAAGTACCAATCTATGGAAGAGCTCTCCCAGAGAAGCGATATTTTTTTCCCTCTCTTTTCAAACTTTTAACAGCGAAAACTTTAAGAAACGGAGAACTATGCTTTCAGTATTTGCCTCTCTAACTGGTTTAAGTGCCCCAAATGACGGCTAATTAAAGGAATACCCACCAAAAAGGAATTTTCGATTACTTACCCTTGCCAAATCCATGGATATCCGTGCGGAAGTTATCCTTGCCCTTCTGTCCGTCCACCAGCTGGCCCAGACCATCCACATACCGATCGCCCTGCTCATTGCCATCGTATGTCTTGTCGGAGAGATCCACTTCCATGCCGCGTTGCACGCCCTTTGGAATGCTGTACGAGACGATGCCCTCTGCAAAGAAAACGGAAATTTTAAATACTCGAACTCGAACAGGCAAAAGCGATTCGTGGAAGTGATACCAAAAACCAAACGTAAAACCCCAAAAATAGCGTAACATGAGAAGCAAGGTGTGGGGAGAGACGGGTTAGGCGGTGGAGAGTGGCACGGTGGGCACGGGGGGACATGCACACACGTCATGTCACGTCACGTAGCGTGTCACGTGATGCAGACAAACGACTGACAATGTGTGTGCAGCCCCCTATTTAGGTGGATAGGGGAGGCAGAGGAATGGATGGGATGGATGGGTTTTTGTGGTATGGTTTTTAAACTGCGGTAAAAATTTAAAGTTTTCAATGCTTCCCCTAAGCCAAAGGCGGGCGGAACTTTTCAACAGAGAGAGGGGGAATGAGAGAGTGGGAGAGTGAGTGAGAGAGAGGGTGTAAGAGAGAGAGAGACAGCAGCAGGATATTGAGTTACTTTTGAAACATAATTTCGTTTTGTGGCCACTCTACTGCGCTCCTCTCCTCTCCACGCTCCTTTGGTTCGCTTCGCTCTGTCTGCCATTTGGTTTTTGTGGTTTTTTTTTAGCACAAAATTTTCAGAGTGCGGGGAAAAATGTGGGAAATTGGGTTTCGTGGGGGGTTGTGGATTGTGGATTGTGGATTTTCGGTGTGTATAGTTTTTCAATGTCAAAGTCAAATGTTTTAAGCAGCCAAAAAGCAGAACTGACTCACAGCCAGAAAACAAAATGTTTTGAGCGGTTTTTTTTGGGGCTAACTTTGGGTAACACGCTTAAAGGAGATACAATTGGGGTTAGCACACAGTGTGTGTGTGGTGCTGGGGGGGGCAAAGAACAAACACCTGACACTAATTAGCTACGTGGGCAGTGTGGACGTTCATTCATTCCCCCCCGACTGCAAAAACAATTACATTTGGTATGGAAAAAAACCAGAAAACAGCAAGAAAACAGCAGTTAGGGGTTGCCAGGGCACTCAATATAATTATAGCAAGGAAAAGCAAGCAGCAGCAGGAAGGAAAATGGTCGGTGGGGGGGTACGTTTAACTAATTTCACTTGAATTTCTATTTACACAATCCAGGCACGTGGCCACATACATTACAGAAAGACAGACAGGCAGGACAACAAATGGAAGGTGGAAGGAATTTTCCAATAATTACCAAAAAAAAAAATCACATAATTACACATAATTATAGGTAGCAATAGATAATGATGTTCGTTCAGGTAGGAAATGACAGTTATTGATCATACATGAGGACTGTGTGTGTGTCTGTGTGGCAATAAAAATATTAATTATTATTCAAGGCATTCATTTAATTACAAGAATTATATAGAAGGACACAGGACACTGGACTGTGGACTGTGTACTGTGGACACGCCATGAAACACACACACACACACACAAAGAAATTGTATATTTAATTAACTGCCAAGACATTTAAGGCAACGCGCGGCGCGGTTCACTGTTGTTGCCGCCGCGCGGCACACACAACGCGACATTCACGCAATGTCCACATATGAGCAGAAAGACAGCAGCAGGGGGTGGGGACCCAAGGAAGGGGGGAAGTTCTGCTGCGCCTGCTTTAGCTGGGACTGTCCCTCCTTTAGCTGGGGCTGCCCCATACTTCGACTTGTGCTGCTCCTCCCTTGACTGGGGCTGCCCCCTACTCCTTCTGTCTGTCTGTCTGTCTGTGTCTGCCTCTGCCTTGTTATTCGCGTGCTTGCATGCGATTCTTATTTGCGTGTCGCCCCAGCAGCAGCAGCAGCAGCAGCAGCAGCAGATTGTTGCTTGGGGGGGTTTAACAGGAGGATAATACTGCCGAAAAAATGAGCAAAAAAAAAAAACAACAGCAACAAAAAGTAAGGAACAAGTCCTTGTTTAAGTGCGTGGAAGATGGCAAATGGCGGGGGCGGATACACTGAAACTGCAATATATAAAATGTAATTTTCCTTCCCTTTTTTTTTTGGGGGGGGGGAACAACGTCACGCAACCCAACGACGACAACGACAACGTTGATGAGTCAAATTGAGGATATAAGATGGATGGATGAGTGGGTCTCGCAGTGAACTGCAGAGGGAGAGCTACAGAAAGGGGATGACAGTGAAGAGTGGGAACAGGAAAGAGCTTTACCCTTTAGACATAAAGAAAGTCGCTAGCTGCCAAGGGTTTTTGTTATTTCAGCAAGAAATTACCCAAAAAATAAAAGAGCTTTAGGAGGAAATGAAATTTTGTCGAATTTTACATTTTACGAGTAGGCCTTTGGATATTTTACATATGTTAAAAATATTTTCATCATTTTTAGGCTCCTATAAACCTTTAATCTGCAATCTTTATATTCTGCAATTTTTAAGCTATGAAGCTTAAAATTGTTAAATAATTATAGACAGCTTTTATCTAACTATTTACCAAAAATCGTTATAATCGGAACCCTTTTATTGTTAGTGTTTGAGTAAAGAAAAAAGTTGTGGTGTTTACAATTTGCAAGTTATTAAGCTGAAACTTGGTTTATTTGTATAAATTTCCATGATCTATTTATCTACAAAAATTCATCAAAATCGGACAATTATTACATACAGAATAATAAAGAAACTCATTAAGGTATTTAGTTAGGGCCTTTTCTTTTGTAATTTTTAAATAATTTAAATAGCTTTCGCCTGGCTGCCTTCACTAGGCAGCAATGAAATTTAAGATCTCAAACTCTTTTCTAAACTTCTCTCCCACTTGAGAGTCGCATAATCTTTAGCTACACCCACCTGTCGTACCCACACACACGCACACACGCACAAAATTCAAACACCCAGACCCTCAGCAACTTCTTCAGTGAGCTTCAAATTTCAACAGCCACCAGAAAACAGCAGAAACCAACCACCTCTCAAACCTAATGCCCTTTAAAAGATCCATAAATTATATAGCCACGAATAGGGTAATGGGGTAATGGGTTATGGGTGGCCCATAAATCGCCAGCTTAACGCTAATCAGTTGTTGCATTTATAATGCACTGCAGCAAAACCAACCCAAGCTCCAAGTTCCCCCAGTTCCCCAGTTCCCAGTTCCAATGCCCAAACCAATTCTGATTCCAATTTCAGTTCGATGGCTGCTAAGCGAAGGGCTAAGCTTTGTAACAAATCTGTGTTTAGTGTCGCCTTTTTTTTTGTGGTTGGGTCGGGGGGAAAATCAAAGTTTCGAGATAATCTCTGGGCCATGACGTGACCAAGCTGGCGGGGGACTCCGACTACTCCCATTTTGTTTGTGTGTGTGGCGCTTCCAGGCAGGCAGGCAGGCAGCAAGCAACAACAACAAATTCTGGGTGCGGCCGTTCGAATCGTCGTAGGTGCGGCAGCGAGCATTCGATTTGCATTCAAAATGTTTGCTACCACAAATTTATGGCCACAATTTAATAAACAATTATGATGCATCTTTGGGCACATAAAAATCGAAATGAAATCGACACAGATACAATAAAATGAAGGAACAATTTATTGATTTTCTTGCCAAGCCCCCCAGCCACCCCACCCTTTTTCTTGCTTTCCCCCAACCGCCGACAAATGTCTGGCACTTGTCTAGACCCTCCTTTGGCTCCACTCCACACCACTCTGATGTTCTCTGTTTGCAGACCCATTTACCCGCCCCCCGCCCCATCTTATCTTGTTTAATTTGCATATGAAATGTGCCTGCCCCCCACCCCCCCTCCAACCAGTCTTGCCCTCCCCATGGGGCAAGCAGCAAATCAAATGACATGGCCGCAAAATGTGTGTGTGTGTGTGTGTGTGTGGAGCGGTCAGAGGCGATTCGCTTGGATTGCATGTCTGCCAACCTCAAATTCTCATGCCACCCAAAAAAGTGGGCGGGTGGGGCGTGGGGGGGCGGGCGTATGCATAGTTTTTGTAGCCAAATGGCGCCACTTATCAGTGGGAGCTGCCCGCTCCCGCGCTGCCCCGTTGGAAACGTTGCGTTAATTTACGGAATAATTTTCAAGTTGCGCGCCTTTTCCCTAGGGTTACACAGGCAGCACTACAAATTGTCATTAGGCTCTGTGGGCTCCACTCCACTCCACTCCTCTGTGGCAGTCTGCCTCTGCGCCTCTCTCTCTCTCTCTGGAAATTATAGAAAAATTTGTTTGTCCAGACTTTGTGTACTGTCGACTCCGTGCACTACTTGACAATTGCGTGCAAACATCGACAAGACCAGGTTTGTGTTGTGCTTTGCTGTTTTTATTTAGCTGGCTGCCTTTTTGGACTTGTCGTCGTCTGGGATTTCGATTTTGCGGCTATGTTTTTCCAATGTCTGCACGCGATATTTTTCAAGTACACACATTCACTTCACTTTACACCCCACACACACACACACACACACTCTGCTCCCCACACACACACACACACATGGCCTGCTAAAAAGAAAACCCAACAAAAGCCAAGCCAAGAGAGAGAAAAATGCGCTACAGTTTGGTTCCGCCAATACTACGAGGAGAAGCCTCCTTGGTTCTGTAAATATAGGCGCAGTTCTGGATTGCATTATTGCGTACACTGCACTCGTGGGGGGTGTGGGGTTGGGGGGAAAATTCCAGCTAAACTGGGAAGCAGTTACTAGAATTTTCAGGGAAATATCTTTATGATTGTAGCAGGAGCAGCAGCAGGAGCAGCAGCAGCAGCAGGAGGAGCAGCAGCAACAGCAGCAGGAGGAGGAGTATTTACGCCCACTTTTTGCTTAGTTTTATTGGTATGGGTATGCCTTGAATTTCAGTTATTTAGAGTACCCTGAAAGCACAGACCAAATACAGTGCACTGCTGCGCTGCAGCTACATGCCACACTGCCACACTGCCACACAGCCATACCCCTTACATGGAAGAGGCTTCAATCTCGCTTACTCTATCTGTTGCAAATGCCATGCTAATGTGAAGACAGCCAGACAGACAGACCGACAGACAGAACGAAGAACACTTAAGCCGCTTTTGGCTGTAGCCGCTGCTGCCGCTCCTCCTCGGCCGCCGCCTGTCCTGTCGCTTGATAAATTAGCAACTGACACTAAAACTCTGTTAGCCGCTCTCCACACTTATCCCATTGCTCATGTCGTATTTTTATCGCACTCGCTTCAATTCTCTGTCGCGCTTACCTTCCCAGGGACAGCCAACGATCTCGGCACGCAGACACACTGTACGATCGTACTGGCCATACGGATAGATGCGTATCTTTGAGGCAAATATAATCGGCTGCAGGGCGTTCTCCACCTCGCTATAAGTGTTGATGTTCCCCGGCAATATCTGTATAAGGATGGGAAAAAGGAGTGTTTAATGTATTAGCTCTGTGGTAGATCCTTTGGGGGGGTGCTGGGGGTTTTTCTTTTACTTACCTCCTTGCCTTGAGAGTTCTTCCAGCGTTGCCATTTGTCAAAGCCCGGACGCCAATACTCGAGGACATAGGCCTCGGTATACTCCTGGCCCTGGCCCTTGCCAAATCTGCCCTGGGTGCGTACGGCGGTTATCACATGCGTCTGCAGCAGATCGATTTGCAGATACTCCTTGAGCGCATTCGATACCATATGCTTGGGGCACCAGGCACCGCCATTATTATCGGTTTTCAGTCTGCCAAAAAGATGGAGAGAGAGAAGACTTTATTAATTAGGCGTCCACTTGAACGGTAGCGAAAACCAGTTGCATGCCGCACCGCCCCAACCAACCTTGACGGGGGAAATGTTTTTTCTTCTCTTATAAATTAATTGACATTAAGCGTTTTCGGCACCACACGGCGAGGAGACGGCAGTCTCCAGCCACCACCACCACCAAACCATGGACATTTTGTGGTGCTGTGGGGGTTGCGGGGGGGACAGCCAACGTCTGGCAGCTCGTCTACGTTCGTTAAGCTGTTTGCGGTTTTAGACATCACACACACACACACAGCAGGATGTTGTCCATGTAATTAAGGATTAATTTAAGTTATATCCCAAACCCCAAGCCCCAGTCTCAGTCTCAGTTCCCAATCCCTGGCTAAAACTTTAATCAATTTCTAGCTGTTAGCCGCATTGATATGTTTGTTAACCACTGCTACAAATGCCTCCTGTACGGGGCGCTCTCTGTTTTTTTTTCTTTTTTGGTTTATATTTCAATTAAGTTTTACATGCTTGATTGCATTTTGGGGTCTGCTGTTGGCCTGGCTGCGCTGACTGGCTGCCTGGTTTAATGCCTGGCCATTATTCATGGGCCGCTCTCTAGGCCTAGACCTGGACTCCTGGCTCCCGACATCGCTCCTGGCTACTGGCAGGCCTCCCTCCTGTCGTCACAAATTGCTTCATTTGGTGGCTGCTGCTGCTGCTGCTGCCTGCCTGCCCCCTGCCAGCGGGTTTATTGAATTCGCATCTACGTTGTAGATTTTTTAATGTTTTTTTCTTTTCCTTACTTCTTTCTTTTTTTTTCCTTACCTCTTTCTTTTTTTTTTTTTTTCTATGCTGGAATTTAGTTATTAATTTTGCATGTCCCTGCGCCATGTGTGTGCCATGTGAGGCTACAAAATGGATTGAGACATTATTGAAACTGCAGGGGGGCGGGGCGGTGACGGTTTAAATCCTTGACTATTACTTGGCCAACTTTATGCTAAAAGATGTCTAGTAACTGAAATATCAGCCAATCTTCATTACCAAACTGCAATTATTTTCAGGTGCATGCGAACAAAATTGAAGTGGGGGAAAGGACCAGAAAAAAAGGTCAATTTAATCTTCATAAAATTGCGCTGCTCCTTCAATTTGTTTTGGTAGCAAATATGCTGCAGGCTTGGGCGCACAAAGAAGAGGGAAGAGCGCCCGGCATAAAACATCATTTAAAATGCTAATATCCTCAGTTATGTGCATTTCAACATGACTTTAATTATTGTTATTGCCAAAGTTAACAATCTGCTCGACGGCCATTCGGCTCTGGTCGTTCATTTCAGTGATGGACTCTGATGGACTAACTGCTGCTGCCGCCTCTTGTGTGGCTACAGGGGAATGCCGCATCTAATCAAGAGAAGCAGCAGCCAGCCAGCCCCTCTGCCTGCTCTCAGTATTCTTTTTTTTTTTGCTTTTAATATGTAAAAGGTTGTAAATTTAATGGGGCGCAATGGAGGAGCAGCGTCTGGGCTGGCTGGCAGGCCATGAGGTAAATGAAAATCAAACAGCGCCAACTGTCATTAAACTAATCTTTGTAATTCAATAGCTACCCGTTCATGCCCAGATCTTGGGCTATGCCCTATCCCTAGGGTGTTTTTTTTTTTTTGTGAGGAATAATTAGATGTTGTGGCGGCGCTCTCTCTGCCTGTCTCTCTGCCTGTCTCTCCTTCTGCCACTGTCTATTCCCGTAATGAATTACTTCATGGAGTAGTTTTTTCTTTTGCTGCCTGAAGTCTCTCTCTCTCTCTCTATGGGTCTGGGTCTGAGTCTGGGTCTGAGTCTCTCTTTTTGGTTTAGGTAAGTGCACGGCAGCGCTTCACAAATTATAATGCTGCCTGCACTTTTGAACTTTCCTGGTTAGCCCTCTCTCTGGAACTTTTTCGGGGGGGTGGGCGGTGGGCTAAGCAAATTGCAGTTCGCCTGATTGGACGCTGAGTTTGAAGGGAAAGACAAAGGAAGAAACTTTCAAGTTGAGTGTAGAGTTTTCTGTGGCGCCTCTCTCTATCGCTGTGTGGTTAAAGGAACTTTCAACAGAGCGGCAAGCAAAACTTGCACTGCATTACTCGGGCAAAGTATCTTTAATTAGTTTGCCCTAAAAGTGTAGAAGAACAAGCAGAAGCAGAAGACTTGATTTAAAAGCCTAAAACATAATGAATATATTTCCTCCGCTGCCACTGCCACTGACCATTAACCATTAACTCTGCAGTCACTTAACCTCGCGCTCTGGCAGAAATCGCAACTACCAGGCCACAGCATACATTGCCATGGCCTGTCAATCTGCCACAGAAGCAGCAGCAGCAGAGGCAGAGGCAGGAGCAGCAGCAGCAGAGGCAGCAGCAGCAGCAGCAGAGGCAGCAGCAGCAGAGGCAGGAGCAGCAGCAGCAGAGAGGCAGCAGAGGCAGCAGCAGCAAACTCTCTACCCAGCATTCATTCGCAGAGACAGAGAGACAAAAGACAGACAGAAATCCAACCTCAGACCCATCCAGATCCACGACAAAAAGCGCCTCTCTTTTCCGCCAGGTGATTCAGTTCAATGCCATTGGCTAAACAACAACAACAACAACAGCAACAAAATCAGAGACTTCTACTTGTGGGCCCGCATCTTGGGGCACATCAAATGCCCATGCCCATGCCCATGCCCATACCCCCCCGCGTCATTCAATTTTTTGATGATGTTTGCCTCCCTTTTGTCTTTGGGTTGAGAAATCTTTTTAGTACAAATTCCAGTTAATCTCAGCAGACAGACAAACAGACAGACAGACACAGAAAATGTATTTTGTTTATCTGCAACGTGCTCATCACGCGTCGTTTTTGTGGCTTTACTTTAGTGCAGCCCCCCCCTCCCCAGCCCCAGCCCACTGCTCGCCGTAAAGGGTTAATGATGCCTGCAGCTCCAGCTCCAGCTCCACCTACTCCACTGTCGTTTCTCTCTGTCGATTTGTGGTGCTCTGTGTGGTTCTTTGTGCGGTTCTGTCAGTCAGAGTCATACCACTTGAGTGTTTTTTAAGTGCTGCATGTCCATAAACTCAGACAGCAGACCAGAAAAATTATTACACAAAACCAAAGCGAAAAAAAAAAAAAACACCGAGGGAAATGCGAAATCAACTTACAGGTTTGATTTCTGCCACATAACTCAATGCGGGGAAATTGACATGTCTATGTGTGTGTGTGTGTGTTTGCATCTCTCTGATATTTTATACTAATTACAGGGTGCCCCACTCCCCCTGCCGCAGTATGGGTGTCATCAATCAATTGGCTGTAGGATGCTTGCAAAACTTCCGTTTCAATTGCCACACACACACATCTCTCTCCTCCAATCGTACCAATCGTAAGCGTACTTCCTGCCCTGCCAGCAAAAAAAAAAAAACCCCCACTAAAAACTCATAAACAAAAGCTAGCAAGAAAATCAAATAAAACAAAACTTTTTGTGTGGAGTGGGGAAAAACCAGTTTTGTGCATTTCTCAAATTGCATTTAATTAGCTCGCTGGAAGGGCTGCTGCTGCTGCTGCTGCTGCTGTCGCTTGCTGCAGTCAAAGATAACATCTTCATCATCATCATCATCTGACTGTCAAAACCATTAAACGGTTGCCAGAGACCATTTCATTCCACTCCACTCCACTCTGTTGCTAGCATCAGCTAAAGATCTTTTATCGGCTTAAAAGGCGCTAGCCGAACACCAAAATATTTTCTACACTCTGCTCACAAGATATGCAAAATACTCGTCTCGTCTTGTCTCGTATTTGTTTTGTTTGCTTTTGTTTTTTCCCTGGCATTTGTGTATTTGTTGATGAACCAACTGTTTGTGTCATAACATAAATTTCCCACTCTATGGAGACAGTCGGGGGGGGGGGCTGGGCTGGGGTGGCCAAAAAAAGTTTTTTCGATTTTATTGACTTCCCCCGTCTTATCGGCCTCTAATGAAGTTGTCTATAAAATTAGCAATTAAATGAACACGCCGCCACAGAGAGAGCACAAGCGGCAGCCATTGTAGATAAGCCTCGCGTCGTCGTCGTCGTCGTCGTCGTGGGGCAGCTTTGGGTTAAATGGATAATGAGGAGCTGGAAGCTGTATAAAGAGTGGTTGGGGAGGGCAGCGCAGGGCAGGCCTGGGGGTGTAATCTACAAAGCAGATCTTTAGCCGTTATCAATATGCTGGGAGCAACGGGTTTTCTATGCCTTCTTCTGGTTTCATTTTTGCTTCGAAAAGGGTTTGTATATCGAATTTTGGGTTGGTATTTCGTGCTAAAAAATGTTGTGTTGCCTTTAGCTTTAAGTTTACGAAACTGAAACTGAAACGTTGTGTTATTGTTTTTAGAAACACTTTTTATGGCTATGCTCAAAATCATTAAGATTAAATGATTATTAAAACCAATAAAGTTAAAAAAAAGAACTAAAAATTTGGTAGAATAAAAGATGACCCAAATTTATATTTATTTAACTCAAATCATTACAACTGACCAATTATTACAGCCAAAATTAATATAAAAAAAAAAATTAATTGATTTTTTTTAATATAATTTTTAATTTAATTTACATTTTTAATTAACTTTTTTTTTATTAGAAATGTAAAAGAAATACATTTAAAAAAATTATCATTTCGCAGAGTACATTTTTTGTGGCATTAAATCATCCATTTAGACTGCCTTCAGCTTTCAGTTCAATTTTTAAACCCAAAAACCACTTTCCATGGCTCCAGCAGTCTGCTTTTTATTGTAGCTTTTTGTATGCAGTTCTCAGCCTCAAGAAAAGCATTTTCCCTTAACCCGAACAACCTCTGTAACCTTTCAACCGACTTGCAATCTTATCTGGAAACCCCTTTCACCTCTCACTCCCATGAAGTCTCACTGGGGGACTGGAACACTTACCTTGCATGTTGAGGACCAACAAAGCCCGTGTCATGGGCCGAGCTTGCTGTGATTTGAGCATCTGTTATGGCTCCCGACTCCATGCCCAAAGGCACATTGCATGTGGCTGAAAGAAAGAAAATAAGAAGCGAGAGAAATATTTTTTAAATTTAAATTTTTATGAAAAAACTTTAATTAATGATGATGTTTGGGCGGAGGCATCAGCCATCCATCCATCCATCCATATAAATATAGAATGCACTTGGCAGTCTCCAACAATCTGGCCCGATGCAACGCAACGCAACGCCCATCGAATCTATCAAAATAAGTCGAGCGTCAATTTGACTTTTTTGACATTTGCTTTTCTGGTTCTGTGGCAGAGAGTGGAGGAGGGAGGAGGCGTATTTCAGAGGGCCCCTATCGCTTTCCCAGGCAGATCTCTGGTGCGCTCTCCTTCGACTTATGAATGGCATCTCTATACTCATTTTAAATAAACCAAACACTTAATCATTGCCAAAGTCAACTCCTGGTCCAGGTTCCTGGACCTGGACCTGTACTGGCAGGCAGAACCGTCAACTACTTTACTTAATTTATTGCCTACCAATTGCATTTGGCAGAGAGTGAGGCATCCTGCTTTCTGCATTTTGCCTTCTGCCTTTGAAGATATCCCCAGTCCAGACCCTCAGACCCCAGACCCCCAGAACCATCTCCTCACCCATCCTCTCTCGTACTTAGGTCTGACAGTCGCCTGCTGACATTTTCGCCAGAATCAACACTGATTTGACATGACTTTTGTTGCCCCGGCCCAGCGGGCGCATCGACCAATCCCACTTTTTGATCTCCTACCCAGCATCAGGCATCAGGCACCAGCCAGCAGCCAGCCAGGGAGCCAGAGGTGCGTGCATTCGTTTAGAAGTTTATAAATAAACACATGGCACGAGGTGTGCAGAGGGGTGGGGAGCCAAATCAGGGGCAGGCGGAGGTGTACGTACTGAAGCGTAGCAGGAGGGGAGCCATGGAATCAAGCATCCAACCAACTCGATTGGAGCTTGTGGAGGAGTTTATTGAGAGAAATCTAGTTCGCGGTTGAGCTGATATATTGGGTATTTTTTTTGGAAACTATACAGTATTTTCTGACTTTTTACAAGAAATGGAACAAGGCAGGAAGCTGGTATTTTCTTGGTATTTTATGTTGTATATATGTATGTACATATATATTTTTTTTATATTACTTTTTTTGTTTTATAATTGTTTATTATATTTATTATTATTTATTAAATTATTCAAATTAAAGAATTAAATTTTTTTTATTTTTCGTTCTTGGTATTTAATATTTATATTTAATATTTACTTTTTCGCTAGAGCCAAAATATTGTATTGAAGAAATACTTTTTGTTCATTAATGAGCAGTTGCTTTTGGTATTTTTTTTTTAGAAAAGTTTTTTAATTTAAGACATTTTTTTGTGTAGAATAATAACCCTTTTTTTGGTAAAATAAAAATACTACAAATTCACATGGCAAGCATTTGGCATGGTATTCCTCTATGCCTCTTCTCTCACCCAACAATCTTTAGTATTTAATGGTATTTTGCAAAATTTATTTCTCATCTCTGGTGCTGGTGCATTTCTAGTGCCCAGCATCTGGAGCGGTGCATTCGCACTTGATTGGATTTGATAGCTGGCAATGCTAATGTGTGGCGAAGTGCCTGACTGCCTGACTGCCTGCCTGTGTGGGTCGGTTCCCAGGTTGTGAGTGAGGTCAGAAGCCACACTCCTCCCCAGTCTAGGAGAAGGTTCTCCACATACTGAGAGACTTCGACTCTGACTATGCTGACTCTGACTTTGGGGGCTCTGTGACTCTGACTCTGGACTGCATATTGCAAGTGCATTCATTTGGAAAATTGTTGCATGTTTTGCTAACTCAACTCTCGCTCCGAGATGTGTCTAGCCCCAACAACAACAACAGCCAGAATAAGGAGCACAGCCCAGCCCAGAGTTCTGCTAGGGATTGTGTGTTTGCTTTACGTAAAGGGGGAATGGTGAATGGGGGAATAGCAAATATTGCAAAAGGCAACAACATTGGTCTAGGGTTTTATATTGAGTTTAGGGGGGTTTGGAGGCTGCCTGGCAGTACGTACAAAATGAACATGCTTATAAATTTGTATTTATGTATTTGTGTTGCTTGATTAACTATAAATATTATGGCAGAAAATATGTTTCAAGGCAAGAAAAGAAAGAAGAAATCGACCATTGTGACAGATGCCCATGAACCGATGAAGTTGGAAGTTGAAATGGCTTTCTATATGTGACTTTTCAGGAAGTTTATTTGCCTCAGTTAAAGGGAGAAATAAAAAGGGAAGGGAGGGGAGTTACACATGCTTAACTTTTCCGATTTTTCCCCCATTTTATTGTCATTTCTGGCATAATTATTCTAATTGAATTTGGCTGCGAAAATCAATAATCTGCGACTAACATACAAAGTAGTACTTTCAGTTGAATGCCTCCACTGTTTATGTATGCCCCATTCTTGGATGCCCCCTACTTATGAGTTTTGCGACGTCTGCTGGGGCTTTTGTGCCGTCCATTCGATGTCTCGATGTCGCCAGAGGAGTAAACGGAAAGGAAAGGAAAGGCAAGGAAGCCTTGCCTTGAAGCCTCTCGACCATATCATATCGAAAATTTATGAACCGCTGACATGCCATGGCCATTGAAATTGGCCATAATCCTAAGCCACATGTCTGCGCTATGGCTTCATTAAAGCCCACTCTCGAGACTGCTACGAGTACTACTGTGTACTGAAAGGAAGAAGCGAAGCTTTTTCCCTCTTTTTCCCTCTTTTCCTTTTACTTTAAAGACGACATAAAAATGTCAATATGCCTATTAATGAGCAGGAGATGGGAGCAGGAGATGGGCGCAAGCAGATGCTAGGCAGGCAATCCATGACTCCTTATGGGGTATGAATGCATGGATGATGCCTGCTGGTTGCTGGTTTGCTGCTGCCTGCCTGCCTGCTGCCTGCCTGCCTGCCTGCTGCCTTGCAACATGTCCAGTTTTCTGTGAGCGGGCACCCCATGGCGCTGGGGGCCGCCAACTGTGCCGCCTGTCCGCCTGGCGGTAGGAAAATGATGAGCCACATAAAAATTGGCTTTCAATGTCAATTAAAATAAATTTTAAGCAAAAGCCAAGAGTCGTGCACGAACCCACCCCCTCAGTCACCCTCAGAGGGCAACGCAGATATATCTCTTGATTGATTCGTATGAATATATATATATATATATATAAGACCTAGTACTCACCAATATCGAATGCCTGAATGGTTGGCGTATTGAGCAGCAAGCAGCAGCAGCCAATGGCAATCATTAGGGCCAAGGGGCATCTGCTGGCATTGACTGTGGCATTGACTGTTGTGGGGCAGGTTGATGATATTGTGGATTTGGTGGGGGAAAGGCACTGGCGGGAGAACATTTTACTGCTATGCTTCATTTTGCGGCGAGAGAAGAGCAGAGTAGAGTAGAGTAGAGAGAGAGATCTGTAAAGAAATATAAGAAAAATTATGTTAGTTAAATTCAATTAATTATTGACTCAAATTTTGTGACCTTTAAACCTGTCTGTTAACCTTCAATCTTCTCTCCGTCAGTCTGTCTATCTGTCAGTTGTCATTCTTTCAATCTCTCAATCTCTGACTGTTGTCTCTTCAATTAGAAAGCATCACTCGAGTGCTGTTGCTGCTGCTGCTGCTGCTGAATCGGAAACTCAATTGATGGCCAAGCAAAGTAAAGCAAAAAAAAAAAAAAGGCAACCAGCAAAAATCTCTTCTCTCGTCGTCTCCCATTTGACTTTTTCTTGGCTCTTCTACGATTTTGACTTGAATGAATGCAAAGTGAATGTGCGTGACGACGACGATGACGACGACGAGAGCAGGCAGCACAATGTGGCAGCCCCTGCCCCTGCGCCTGCCCCAACCTCCCCACTGCAGCTCACTGGCTTGCAGGATGACTTTGTGCTTTTCATTTAACATTATTTTGCAACAATTTTTGCTGCAAGAGTCAGACATGTGGAGAGCCCAGAGAGAGCCCAGAGAGATGCCATAGAAAGCGGGCAAAAGCAAACATGTTCTGCCTGCCCCCTGCCAGCCATACACTGCCTGCCACACTGCTTGCTGCTTGCCACTGCTGGTTATCCCATTCACCGATGTCTAAGCCCGTTTCCGCTTTAATTTAACGCTGGCTGGGCGAAAAAAGGAAAAACCAGAACACCCAGAGACACCCAGAGACACCCTGCCCGCCCCCTGCCCACTGCCACTGCCACTGCCCCATTGCCGCCAGCTGTTGGAGCAATTTAAGAGCAAAATCTGCTGCAGGCAGGCAGGCAGGCAGGCAGCCTCCACCAAGAAATGTATTTAGTTTATGTAAAGCGTGCGGCACAAAACAAAATATAAAAAAAAAAAGGGCAAAAGGTAGCGCCAGATGATGAACGTGAGTGTCGCAGGACACCCAGTGCCTGCCCCTGCCCCTGCCACTGCCTGGCACAGCCAGTGAGCTGGCAAAAAGGACATCATCCCGAGGACCCTACGTTTCTGTTTAGTTTGCAAATTTCTTTTGATGTCTTTTAATTTTAATGAGTTGCAGGCGGCAGGCGACGGCTTTGGCAGAGCAGCGGCAGCGGCAGCAGAGGCTACCCTTAAGTAAAACTAATTAGAAGCGAAAAAGGGAGCGTAGGAGTCGCCACACCAAAAGGATAGCGAGCACACAGAGAGAGAGAGAAGGGTATGGTGTGTGTGGGCTGTGGGGGGGGGGTTGTGGCTTCCATATCCACACTTTTGGATCAGCGCACACTCCATTTGTCCATTGTACAGTTTGCCAGGTGGCACAGAGTGCGCCCCATTCTGCTGTAATGGATACCACTCGTATTACAAGATGCATGCCACACACTGCCGTGTGTCTTCGTCCTCCCTGTGTGCCTGATTCGTATCTAATAAATGTGGTTCCAGGTTCTTGAATGTATCTGCCTTTGCTTTATCCTTTTCCCTTTTCGTTGAGAATGTCTCTGTGGCATGTACTGGACATGCAAAAAATTGTCTACGTCATGAGGCAATTTGTCACGCAGCTGCTGCTGCAGCAGTTGAGATACGGATACAGACTCCCCCTCATGCGTGTGTGTGTGTGTGTCTCTGCTCTCCCCCCCTGTGGGAGTGGAGTGAGTCTTGTCAATAACTCAGCGCTTAATTGCTCATCTCTCAACGTCCAGGGGAACCAGCGCAGCCCTATCGAGTGGACTCCGGATCTAGTACGGCAGGCAGGCAGGCAGGCCGGCCAACAAATTAGAAAATACCAGAGAAATGCTGGCTGTCATAGTTTCAACTTGCTGCTGCTGCTGCTGCTGCTGCTGCTGGTGCTGCTGCAACCTGCCACACAATCTAGGTTAAATTAATAGTGACACTCGCCTCGGACTCGCCTCGCCACATGCCAGCTGCTGCTGCACCTGGCGGCGATGCTTTGATAACCACGCCTCTAGCCTCTGGCGGGTTTTTGCCTGCTTCTTGGGGGCAACTTCTACTGATTCTGTCTCTGCTTCTGCCGCTGTTCCTCTGTTTGTTTGGCTGCATTTTTCGTACGCGAATATTTCATAAATTGAAATGTACAGTTAGTTAATTACACGCTCAATTGGCTCTAAAAGAGTGGCATTAGCCAAACGTCCGCAACGTCCAGCCGGTGCAATTTCTTCCTTGCTTGCTTGCTTGCTTGCTTACTTCTGCCTTTGCTGCTTCGGCCCCACAATTTTTAATGGTTGTCATAAAGAGATTTATCGCCTAATGGCCGAGTACGAGTAGTGCTAATGCTCGAGTGGATCGGTGTGGCATGCAACACTGCGGCACTGCGGCACTGGGGCGGAGTTTTAGTGCAGTTTTCGATGCAATTCCCAGTGATCATTGGACGCAACAGCGCCAAAGTTGTGTGCGATTGTGAATTGTGATATAATGGTCGGGTTGGCTGGCTTGGATGAGCATTTCGGGATGGGGAAGGGGGCACGGGGGTTTTTGCAATTGAAAGACATGGACTAATGGAATGGTGGGAGCATAATTATTCACGGCAAGGCATTTTATTGCTTTCATATTGGAATTTGTACGGAAAAGATCGAATTTATCAATATGCAAATAATCGATAGCTATCGATAACTGTGCTGAAGTTCGATTAAATGTCGATATATATGGTTTATTGATATTGATTCATTGATATATTTATTATACAAATCAATATAGAAAATAATCGATAGCTATCGATAACTGTGCTGAAGTTCGATAGCCTTTATCGATTTATCGAAAAAGTTTATTAAATATAATCGATTTCTAATCTGGCGAAACAATATACAGTAACTACAATTATCGATAACTGCATGCTAATTTTAGATAATATATCGATTAGGTATACCCAGCCAGATAATTATCTAAAAAAACAGTGTTGATGGGTTTGTCTCAATATATAAATACCGACATGCCCCCGATTACACGAGATTTTTGTGATATCTCTGCTCTTGGCATCGCCACTTAAATCTCACTTAATCACTGCCATACGTACTCGTAATCGTACGCACTTCACACACTCTTAAATGTAAACTAAATCTTTAATTTTCCTTCCCGAAAACCCCCCCTCACACACACACACACACACACAGAGAGACACCCACAAATCCGACGACCAATTTAGCTAACTGGCGCTGGTGGACGCGCCATCAACCAGTGGCAGCCATCAATCAAAAAAGTTTCCCATTTTAAATGTCAACACATTCACACACACACACACACAGAGGGAAGCCCCCACGCCACAGAACCCTACCATCATGCCCCATGCCCCATGCTCCATGCAACACCCTTCTGTACAGAGAGAGAGAGAACTTTCCTATGTTTAAAACCCGTAATTTGGGGAACTCGCTCGCTCGCTCTCTCTCTCTCTCTCGAAAAACTAAAACAAATTGCAGCCTGTGCGCCGCTTTGAAAATTTTAACTGTTTGGTTTTTTGGGTGGGTTGGGGGGCGGACGCACTTCCTGATTAACTCGAAAAAAAAAACAACAACAAACTAAAATAAAATCGGAGAGGAATAACAACAAAAATTCCAGCCATGCAGCCATGCCACAAAATTGATTAATTGATGAGGCACACACACAATTTTAAATGGAATCTGGGAATCTGGAGCAAGCAGATCCAAAGCAGAGCAACAGACATATATAGATATACTATATGCACATATGTATATATATAGTAGGCCACATGGCCCAAGTTGAGACACAATTTGCATAAATCGAAATACAAAAAGCGAGTTGACTGCCACACTGCCGGCTCTGCCGCTGCTGTGGAAAATCGGGAGCAAAAGATATTTATCTTGTATCCAGTGGCAGGCAGTGGCAGGCAGGCCTCTGGGCACTGCGCTCTGTGTGAGAGCACTGGCAACGCGTCGAGTGTTTGAATGAGTGTCAAATTAAATTGATCAATTAAGCAATTGACGTGGCTCGACATCGACATCAACATCAACAGCAGCAGCAGCAGCAGCAGCAGCAGCAGCAGCTAGGGATTCGCTTGGATGCGGATTCACAGATTCAGATACAGATACAGATTCGTATTTGGATTGGGGAGTGGGACTGGGAGTGGAGTGCAAGGGAATGAATGTTGTTGGGGGTGATGGCGAGGCTTAAATGCAACATCTGCAATGCAACACAAAACAAGTGACGCAAATTGTGGAGGGGACTCCACCCCACCACACTCCACTCCACTACTAGTGACAATTTCTGTCAATTCAGCGGCGCTAATCAAGCAAGAGACAGTCAAGCCAAGCCAAGCCAAGCCAAGCATTTAAATAGGGTTGGAGCTGCTGCTGCTGTTGCTGCTGGAACGAACTACTAGACAAATTGGCTGCGATTGCAGTTAGTTAGGGCAGCAGAGAGTGTGGTGTGGTGTGGGGCGGGAGTTGTAAGCTTAAAGCCAAACGAACATGCGGGTAGGTGCCTCAAACGCAGAGCCCCCCAGTAAAACCCACAGACGACAGTCGACAGGCAACGTCATATAATCCATCAACTCCCGCAGACAGACAGCTGCACAGTTACAGCTACAGCTACAGCTACAGTGACGACTCGAATTTCCCCCTCAGTTGTAATCAAATCAAATGACAACGCCAGACAGGAGGAGCAGCAGCAGCAGCGGCAGTGGCACCATCATTGCAGGAGGCAACTTTGTTGGCAAAAACGGAAGGGCAACACACAGAAGCAACAACTCCCAAGAGCAAAGAGAGAGAGAGCGAGCACCAAAGCTGCAGAAGGAGCAGCTACCATCGCCTGAAGAAGGGGCAAACCATAGCCTGAAGGAGGGGCAAACCATGGCCTGAAGAAGGGGTAAGCCATAGCTATAGGAGTCCCCAGCCCATAGCTATAGGAGTCCCCAGCCCATAGCCTGTAGTAGGAGCAACCCTACAGCTGCAGAAGGAGGAACTGTGGGAGAACACAGACCCAACGTCTCTGTGGGTGGAAAGGCTGTCCTGGGC